TGAAAAAGTTGTTTATTCTAAAAAAAAGTTCACATAAATAAACCCATTCAAACAAAATTTACTATGTTAGTATTTCCTATTATTACAAATGAATTGTTAAAATTGTCAAATAAAATTTGGGACTAAAAATGATGTGAAGATCTGAAAATTAGAGGTGATAAACCAAATGGGGCCCGCACGTTTAGCCTGTAAAAAATATGTGAAATGCGAAGGTTTTTGGCTCACATTCCCCATTTTATCGATTATATTTTATTTTTTAACGGGTACAAACATTAACGAGGTGAAAATACTTTTTTTGGTACCATTTTTAAATTAAAAAAATGCGAAGCCGGCTGAACAAATTTATGTTCTGTTTTAGATGCTCTGCTTATTTTCTAGATTTTTTTACTTGCCACTGTTTAAAATATTAAAAACTAAAATGTTATAAGTTGAAAAATAACACTATAATACCACCATTTCAATTAGAGTTTAGTTAAAGAAATGACGACTTAATGAAAAAGAATCCGTATGCATCCACTAATGGTTTGCCGAATCAAAGAAGAAGTTTTTTTATTTTTTATTTTTTTATGTTTTAAAATATATAAAACTTATATAATATATATTATAATATAATTAGTATTATAAATAATATAATTTGTATTACATTAATATTAAAAAATTATGTAAATGATTTGAAAATGATTTAAATAATATAATAACATTAAAAAATAATAATTAAAATTTTTAAATAATATTATAATAGAATAAAACATTTCTATTTTTATAAAATTATTTTTATAATAAATATCAATTAATACCATAATTATATTTTAAAATATAATTTATTATTATCAATCGCACATAATAAATGCGTGAAGAAGCTCTGTCATACTCGGTCATCCATTTTATTATTTTTAAGTTGTTTATATATAACATTGTTTGGGTACTTCTAGATCTCAGATTATCTACATTCATTTCATCATTTTAGTATGAATTTTTTTTATAAAAAGGAGATTTTACTAATCCAAATATTCCTTTCACCAAAAGAGATGATCAAATGGTTTTTTCTCCAAAAAGTCATCATTGAAGATCCGATTGTGGAACATTCAAGCACTTTCAGAGAAGCATGATTAGATGGTTAGAAGAAGAAATTTCTAAAGGTGAAAAGATCAGAAGAACTCATGACTGAATAATATTGGCTTGTCCAACCGAAGGACGAACTGCAGACAAAATAGGGTTGAGTCATCCAACCAAATGAAGAAATCATGAAGTGTATAGGAAGGCTCGTCATTCCCTAGGCCGAGCTGCAGAGAGTGCAGTGTCATTTCTTTTCTAGACAGAAGTCATTACTGCAAGAGTAGTGATACAACTACTTAGTAGTGTAACAGCTAGCCATAGAGATGTAGATGAATAATATTGGACTCATTAATTTTTTTAACTCAACTATTTTTCCAACGGGTAATAGCATGGCTCAACATTTTTTACTCAGAATTTTTCATTATAAATACAATCCCTTCTTATTCATATGAATTATAAACTCAACACACCACTTCAATATTTCAATACTTCACTACTTGATCAGTTTAAATTATTTCAAATGACAATGTTGTGAATGGCAGAAAATCATCGGGGAACACCGGAAAATGTTGTTGCATATGTAAGTATTTTTCTTCATACTTAATATTTTTTTATTATTATTACATCATTAGATGGTATTTATTTTTTATTGAACAACATATTGATTTTTCCAATATTTGAAACAACCCTACAAAAAAAGATTTAGGCTTCATTCTCGTGTTATCGATGCACCAAATGAGGCAATAATACCGTATTTGGAACGAGTATGTTTTGCAAAAGTTGCAGAAATAAGCATTATCAATGTTGATTCGAAACTCGTACTTGTTATGGTAGAAAGATGGAGACCGGAAACACATACTTTTCATTTTCTAACCGGTGAATGTACAATAATGTTGGAGGATGTAAGTATGTTATTTGGTCTCCGTGTAAATGGTAGGGCTGTTAATGGTCCTACTCAAGTAGGCAGTGATGTATATATATGGAACATTTAGGTGTCGAACCTTCGACTTCAAATAAACATAAAGATTGTGTTAAAATTGTTTAGCTACAAACTTTATTAGCACAATTAAGACAAAACAAATCGCATACCGAAGAGGAGAACGTTCTCCATGCAAAAATTGATATATTACTACTCATACCAAAAGTATTGATGCTAGACAAGAGCCATAACTTTTTACATTCTTCTTGGATACCTCTAGTATGAGATTTAGATAAATGCATTAGTTGGGGTTCTGCTTGCTTAGCTACATTATATAGGCATATGTGTAAAACATGCAAGGTAAGAGTAAAAAGTATTGGAGAATGCGTTCTCCTACTCATTGTTTATACATATTGACATATACCACTAATTGCTCCTGAGAGTTTCGTCGAGCCATCACATCCTTACGCAAAAAAGTAAAAATAATTTAGACTTTCTTTTCTTTTATACAGATATATGTTTATGCACGTCCCTTTATTACATTTTTTTATTTTAAAATTGCAAGATTTGTTCAACGAGGCACGACTTACCAAAAAAGTTCTCGTCATCACCTACACGAATCTATGCACTAGATAGATTGAGGACGAACGATGTAAGTTTGTTACCACTACAATCTCTAAATCGATGCTAAAATTTGTATTTGTACTTTAACTATTATATTTTATGTAACAGTTTATTTGGAGGCCCTACCCGATCTACCCACCTTGCGTCTTTGAAGATAGCTAGATTTGGAGCGCGACCACTTCAATCATCCGTTTTCATACTGTTGAAATGCATCAAGTTGATACAGTCAAATTAAAGTTTGAATTTGAATAATAAATCCATACTCATCCTAGATGTCTACGCGAACACCATGAAATTGAAATGCCCAATACATGGGGAGATCATTGGTGCAATCTGAATAAAGAAGAGAACAACGAGTGGAGAAACAGAAGAAATTTGACCTTGAGAGGAAACATGGTTAATGGTCACTATGTGCATAGCGCTGCATATATGCAATGGTTTTTATCCATTCCATTTATGCATGTTTCTCAAACACAATTTCTTGATGACCCCCATCAATATGCATCTTATTCATCACAGCAAAGAGCCTCGCCGTCCATGCATCAAGAAATCCTCCAGACGAACCCTTCACAATTTCAATCTCAAACATCTTCATTCCTCAAAAACACATACCATCACCCCAAGCCACACAACGCCAACCAACATATCAACACACCCGAACCACACAACAACACACATTTTTTGCCACCTTCTCTCAACAACCAACACCACACACCCCAACCCCTCAAGCTAACTTCTATTACGACTAAGAATACCAGCAACAAACCACACTTCGACCATCCTTTTAATTCACTCCAATTTCTTGACCTAACTTTGATTTCTCTTACCTCTAATCACAACAACAAACATTTAACCCTCACTCTCTCAACCCACTTCTACCTACCACACTGATGATGTTTATTACCCTCCCATCCAACAAAGCCCTCAAACCACCTTCAACCAACCATCCCAGTCAGTCCCCAACTTTACCCTAACTGATGATCAACTCATTGAATGACCAGGTTTTTCTGTTACCGATGTGGATATGGTCGATACAACACATTAACATGAAGATGTATCTGAAGATGAAGGTGTAACTGAAGATGAAAAGTTCTCTTTTGATTCTACTCCATCTTCTCCAAGACAGCAAACTCAAGACTTGGGCAGGGGGTTGCACGTAAAAAAGAGTAAAATGTGTGGAACTAACGGTCATTTACGTAGACCTAAATGATGTATTTTTCTACTCAATAATATTAATTAAATTGCTTATTGTTACATTTTATTTAATAAAAAAATTATATTAATTAATTACGTAATTAATTAATTAAATATTATATAAAACATTAGAAACTTAATTACATATAATTGCAAAAAATATTTTTTTATTATATTCAAATAATAAGAGAAATAAAATATTTTTAAAAATATTTAATTATTAATATTTTAAAACATAAAAACAATTCTTATTTTTAAAAAATAATTAAATATATTAAAATATAATAAAAAATATATAAATATATTTATGGCCAAACTCATACAAAAGCAAAAACTGCATCAATGAATCATCCAACAATTAGCCAACCCCTAAATAAAATAGTGGCACCTTATAATTTTTTTCAGGCTGATGCATTTTAGTACATATTTTTCAAATGTGTGGCAGGTACATAAAAAAATCCCACTTTTTACTAAGCAAGATAAAGTATTTTGCATTATCACCTCTATTATATTTGCCTCCCCCATTTTGACTCAGTTTCTATGATGTCCTTTTGCCACTCTAGTGCAAATAGTGCTCTAAGTCAAAATAATCATGATGGACCCAAGCAATTTTGGAACATCTTGATTAAACATTCCATTTTGATGTATCATGACAAGTCTCATCATTGATTTAATTAAGCACACTACTCATTGTCCACTCCCTCTCTCACATAACTCTCTCAACTTTCAATCACAACTCAATCACCATCATTCATTCTATCATCACCATTCATCAACGGTCACAAACCATCTTCCTCCTTTCGGCCACTTTCATTACCATAGAGACCCACCAACACACTCACTCAACATGTCTCTGCAACCCTCAAAGACAGACACACACTCACACAACACAACTATACACTCTTTTCTAACTTTTCCTTTTTCTCCTCCAACAAAGTAAACAAAGTCACATATATCATTATGGTTTCTCGTACCCACAAATCATTTTATATTCCCACACTTATAGACCAAATAATCGAAAACAACACCAAAACAACCAAATTCCAACGTTAAATACCATTAAACAAATCTTCTAACCTCATTTCACAACCTTTCTACTCTAAGGTACTACTTACTACTAGTATTCATTTTCTTCCATTTTCTTTCACTTTCAACATTTTGTTCGTATATCTAAAACTAGTTTCATTTGAATCAGGTAACTTCTGTGATGGAGGAGAGACCAGAAACAGAACTGATATCAATACCTGCGACACCAAGAGTGTCCACACCTGAGATTCTGACACCATCAGGACAAAGGTCACCAAGACAAGGCTCAAAGGAAGCTAAATCATCAAATGCATGGACACCAACATCTTTTATTTCGCCGAGGTTTTTGAGTCCTATAGGGACACCAATGAAAAGGGTTCTTATAAATATGAAGGGTTATTTGGAGGAAGTTGGTCATTTGACAAAGCTTAACCCTCAAGATGCTTGGCTTCCAATCACTGAGTCTCGTAATGGAAATGCTCATTACTCTACTTTTCATAACCTCAATGCTGGTGTTGGTTTTCAGGCCCTTGTTTTGCCTGTGGCCTTTGCTTATCTTGGCTGGTAATAATTTTGTTACATTTTCTGTTCTCTATGTTATGCCCTTTTACTATGATTCATGTTTTTTAAGTCTTTGGACCTTTAGAATTGATTCTAGATTCTTAGAATTGATTTTGACATGTTTGGTTGTAGTTGAGTTTTAATCCGAATTGCTTAGAATCAATTTTTTTTTTCATAGCATTTTCTAGGATAAAAAAAGGTTCACTATCTCCAATATGTTGTCCTTTTACTAGACATAAAAAGAAGGGATTTTGAAATGTGGGGCAAGTCTTTCACAAGCATGCCTCAATGGAAAGAGATAGGGGAGAAGGCTTGTTAATTTGTCCCTTTATCTTTTGAGTTTCTTAAAGCTAAATTAGCTCCTTGCTTTAAGCAACTTTTTGAATTATGTACACATTCTCCCTTTTTGTTATTGGTTAAGGGACCATTGTGTTGGCCATGAAATTGCTTAATAGTTACTAGTTTATCTTATGCTCATAATTTCTATTAGTGTTTTGGTAGCATCTTTTATGCAAGTTCTTTTTGACTATTTGTATGATTGTATTGATTTATTTTAACTTATCTACTGACATAAGCACCTGTGAGACTATTTGATTTTGAGAGAGTTTATGGAAACAACTTATTTTCACAAGCTCTCCAGAATAGCTTATAGCTTATTTTGAAACAATTTGGTTTGAGTTTATCTTTTGTTATATAAGTAGTTTTCACATAAGCACTTATACAAAAGAATGTAGAATTTGTTGAATTGAGCTGATAAAAAAAGTTGGTATGGAGTGATGTGGTGTTAGAAAAACATTTCAGTCTCATTATCACACTAAGAAATGTTGTGTCCAAATATTTTGCAGGAGTTGGGGAATTATTTCCCTAACCGTGGCGTATTGTTGGCAACTTTACACCTTATGGATTTTGGTTCAGTTGCATGAGGCAGTTCCAGGTAAAAGGTACAACAGATATGTGGAGCTAGCACAAGCAGCATTTGGTAAGTTTGTTTGCGTTTTTTGTATTCGTTTAAAACCAGAGTTGTTATTCGAGTATGTTCTTATCTTTGCAGTGTAGTAATGTTCAGTTTATAATTTTTCTGCCTTGTATTGCAGGAGAAAGATTAGGAGTATGGCTTGCACTTTTCCCGACTGTTTATTTATCAGCAGGAACTGCAACTGCGTTGATTCTTGTCGGAGGGGAAACCATGAAACTGTTTTTCCAAATAGTTTGTGGTCCAACATGCACCTCAAATCCTTTAACCACAGTGGAGTGGTACCTTGTTTTCACTTCTCTATCTATCGTTCTTTCTCAGCTTCCGAACCTCAATTCAATTGCAGGACTTTCGCTAATAGGGGCTGTTACAGCCATTACTTACTCCACCATGGTTTGGGTTCTTTCCGTGAGCCAACAAAGGCCGCCCTCTATCTCTTACGAACCTTTATCACTGGCTTCGCCTTCGTCTTCATTATTTCTAGCATTGAATGCACTTGGAATTGTAGCATTTTCTTTCAGAGGACACAATTTGGTCCTAGAAATTCAGGTAAAAATGAATTGGCTATATACTTGTATAGTTCTTACTTCAAAGTCATAATAAGTATTTAATGATACGCACTGTTTTTGTTTAGGCCACAATGCCTTCGACGTTTAAGCACCCGGCTCGTGTGCCTATGTGGAAAGGAGCCAAGGTTGCTTATTTCTTCATTGCAATGTGCCTATTCCCTATGGCTATTGGAGGCTTTTGGGCCTATGGGAACCAAGTAAGTAAACTCTTATCATATAAATGCTTATGTATAAGCGGTTTGAGGTTTATTCGAGCTGCAGCAATCATAATTTCCGTATCATGATTTTGTCACAGATGCCTAATGGAGGGATTCTGACAGCTCTATATGCGTTCCACAGTCATGACATTTCAAGAGGAATTCTAGCCTTAACTTTCCTTCTTGTAGTGTTCAGCTGTTTGAGCAGTTTTCAGATATACTCAATGCCTGCTTTTGACAGTTTTGAAGCCGGATACACCAGTCGAACGAACCGTCCTTGCTCGATATGGGTTCGGTCAGGTTTTAGAGTTTTCTTCGGATTTGTGTCCTTTTTCATAGGAGTGGCACTTCCTTTCCTCTCGAGTCTCGCTGGTTTGTTAGGAGGACTCACTCTTCCGGTCACTTTTGCATATCCTTGCTTCATGTGGGTTCTCATTAAGCAGCCGACGAAATATAGCTTCAGTTGGTATTTCAATTGGATTCTTGGTTGGTTAGGAGTTGCTTTTAGCTTGGCCTTTTCTATTGGAGGCATTTGGAGCATGGTTAATGATGGACTCAAATTGAAATTCTTCAAGCCGAATTAAGTGTATGTTTGAAATTAGCAGTGAGATTGTCAGAATCACGGCGCACCGCGGTGATTATTTCGAACTTGGTTCGTATCCAAACATTCATATTAAGTTTTGATTATGTCATGCAAATGTATCAGATGAACGGTCTGAAAGTTAGAGTATGGCTTTATTTTTCAGTGATATAGCTTTGAAGCTTGTTATGTTTAAGTTTATAATGTAAAATAAGGATTGTGTATTCTTATTTGTTGAGACCTTTAAAAGAAAAGCACTGGTCTAATGTTTCAATTTGTAAGCTCTGTGAGTTTCATAATGTGAATCAATTGCAAGAAGTGAGAATCCTATTACTTTGCTTCCTTTTAGCAGATATATTGTCTGAAATTTCTCTGTGGAAGGGAAATTTCCACAACAATGCATTGAGAAGATAACTGTAAGCTTAATTGGTAACACTAATACTTTTCCAAAACTTCTCAAAAAAATATGACATTTCTTTACAACATCCCGTACAAAAAATATATCTTACATAGGATAATGAACCTAATTCTTATCCAAAATTAATCCCATTTTAGCTGTGACAACTCACATCTACATATTCTTTCTTAATCCCCAAATTTTCTAGAAGATCCCATAACCACAATGTTTTCTTCACTCCTTTTGTTAAGGCCATCTACTCGGCTTCTGCAGTAGATAGTTCCATTGTAACTTATAATATCGATCTCCAACTAACCGGAATATCATATATTTTAAATACATAACCACTAGTAGATTGTCGTCTATCTAGATCACCAGTATAATCAGAATCAACAAAGCAGTTTAACTGACATGTATTTCCACCAAAGTATAAACATGTGTTATTTTAAGTATTTTAAAATCCATTTCATTGATTCCCAATGTTCCTTTCCAAGATTTGCCATGAATCTACTAACAACATTAGCTACTTATGAAATATTTGGACGTGTTCACACCATGACGTACATTAAATTGCTTGTGAAATATTTGGACGTGTTCACGTCATGACGTACATTAAATTGCCAATTGCACCGGTGTAAGAAACACATTTCATTTCATGTATGCCTTATCTTCCACTGTAATGAAAGATTGTTTACTAGATAGCTTAAAACGTGGAGCTAATGGAGTCACCACAAACTTAGCACCTTTCATTTGAAACCTTTCAATAATCCGTTGTAGTCTTTTTGATTCAAGAACAATTTTCGATTTGATCTGTCACTTATAATCTCCATACCTAGTATTTTCTTTGCAAGTCCCAAGTCTTTTGGCTCAAACTCTTCACCAAGTTGAGTTTTAACCTATCTATCTTCACCTTACTCTTCAAAGCAACAGGCATGTCATCCACATACAATAGAAGATAAATATGATCACCTCTGCGATGCTTACGAATGTATACACAATAATCATAACCACTTCTAAAGAAATCTTGATTTAACATGAATGAGTCAAATCACTTGTACCACTGGTGAAAAGATTGCTTCAATCCATAAAGTGATTTCCTCAAGGAACATACATGACTCTCTTTACCCTTAACCTTACATCCCTCAGGTTGATACATATAGATTTCTTCATCCAAATCATTGTCTAATAAGGTTGTCTTCACATCAAGTTGTTCTAACTCAAGATCACCCTGAGCAACGAAACTTAATAACACTCATATAAAAGTATATTTTACTACTGGAGAAAATATCTCGTTTGTAATCAATCCATTCTTTTTGTGCAAATTCCTTGGTCACTAACCTAGCCTTATACCTTATATTATCAGACTTGTTAGGATTCTCTTTTCTTTTCTTTTGTACACACACTTATAACCAATACCAGTTTTTTTCACAGGCAATGGGGCCACCTTCTTTCTTCATACAAACCAACAAACTCTCTATATCTTTGTCTTTGATAGCTTTCTTGAAGGTGACCAATTCATCATCTTCAACCGAGAGTGCATATTCCACTAAGTTTAGTTACTATAATACCTCAAAGGTTTATCATACCCAAACTTTTGAACTGGTTTATAATTTCTCTTTGGTCTAGTGGTATCCAAAGATTCTATATAATTCCTATTTTTCGCTTGCTTCTTAAATAATACCCTCTTATTTGAAGAATTTGCTTTAATGTGCCCAAATTCACCACATTGAAAGCATGTTCTTTTTACAAGAGCTCTAAATTTTGATCTAGATTTTCTTCCCTTGTCATGTCCTCTTTCATCAGTCCTCCCTCTAGAAAAAACAAATCTTAAGAGCTTGTTTTCTGTATTCTCTTCCAATGTTATACATCTCATTTATAGCAACCTTTCGAAGATCATAAGCTAAAAGTGATGTTTTAGACATCCCACAAGGACATCAGATGTATACAATAGTGAAATTTTATCCGTATATTTTGACATTTTTGTATTATGGTTTGTATTTTTGTACACAATAGTGACATTTTTTAAATGGTATAGTGGTTGTGAGTCGATAAAAGAAAATAAGATTTTTTCGAACATCCCTGGTATTATCCTTCATTGAAAATGTACATATACAACATTTTAGAACAGCGTAGGATCTATTGAAGTGTAGAGATTAAAGTAAAAGTTGAACTGGAGCAGGTGCAGTAATACATGATGGTGTCAACATGAAAACAACCGAGTTGGCAATTCCCAACACAATTCCAAGCTTTACCTGACCTCTCTTCGGAATCGGACGGTCACAGATGGTTCTTCCTCCACCGTTGATATTCATTGCAGTTAAAGCTGTACCACTCTCACCCTGCATCTTATCTTTGGTATGCTGAACAGAAAGATGCTTTGATATGAATTTGTTAATGTGTGTGGTTGTTTGTTTTTAGCTTCTACTCTATATATATTATACCTTCCACGCTTAGATATTGAGTATTTGCCACTTGTTTCGATTTTGGACTCTTGTTTGATATTTATCAAAATTAATTTAGTGGTTTTTGTGGTGCCACGTGGAGTACTATCAAATGTATTAGACACGTGGACATAGCAATGAGATACATAAATTGTGTCCACATACTGAAAATTGTTGCATAGTGGCCGCTAGCTTTCTCTCTGTGTGGTTGCAACACTAGGCTTTCTCTAGACTATTGCTCCATATTCATTAATATCAACAAACAACCTTTTCATTCTTTTGGGTTTCAAATGTTCTGTCTATTCATAAATTTAATCAAAATATGTCGGTACATGTTTATGAGATGATAATAGTACTAAATAATTAATATATTTTTTGAATTAAAAGAATCTTGTATTAATGTGACTCTTTGTTAGAGTTAAAACCTCAAAGCAAGTCTTCTTTGTAAAAACTACTTGATTTTGTGCTTATCCTATCAAATCTAGTGAATATAAATTAGATAAGAGACAAGTTGAATACTTGTGTGTTTCAAAAACTTTTTCTAATTAACTGAATTGAAATAGGAAATGAAAGTATTGAGCAACAAAAGAAAGGTGATGATAACTAGTAAGAGTAATCATTTTAATTCTGATGAAATATTTTGTATGTAGATAGGTTACACGAGGACAAGCAATAGAGTAAGTTTTGGATTGTGGTAACACTCAGTCATTACGTAATATTTTTGAGAAAAATTGATGGAATCGGAAGAATAATGAGTAAAAGCCAAGCTAAAGTGTGGAAGAAGTAAGCAAAAATTTACTCACAAACAAGGTGTCACATGTTTGTCATACCCCAAATTTGTCCTATCTGTATTTAGCTTTCATTTGTATAATCCATCCATTATTATTCATATAATATGTGGCGCAAGTTTGAATTCAAGACGTCGCAAGGTTGCGTGGAGAAAGATTAGGTTTGGCTAAGGCTTATCAGGAAGAGATTTGTTCATTTGTCAAGGTCGTAATGTGCAACTCACAGGGTGGTTTGGTTTATGACTATGGTTCTTGTACCAATTTGGATCGATTTTGTGTGGATTAGAATGTCAAGCTGTGAGGAGTTCAATAGAATATCGTGCAGGACCTTTGCTTTTCAATCAGGATTATATGGAGCAGTTGATTAATTCAAAGTTTTGATTTAAGAAGAACTCAAAGATCTGTGGCAAATTTGTTTTTAACGAAATACCAGAAGTCTACTTGAACATGACTCACTTCAAACTAAGATTTCAATATTGGTTCATTTGATTGAGTGCAATTTGGATTCAATTATTTTGGGTAATTTTCATAGAGACTTTAATCAAAACGGTTGCTAATTTAAGATCAAAAATCAAAGAATCGTTTAAGCAAGTTTCAGGATGCAATTAGTAATTCAAGATTTGGATTATCAGTGCAAGTAAAATTTCAGAGGAGAATAGACCAAATGTTGGAGAGCACCATTTAGTAGAGGAAAGAAATGTTGGAAATCGAACTATTAAATCTAGTGTTAAGCCAACAAGTATGAAGTTTAAGAAAATGAAGCACAGTTCATCTATATCATAATTTAAAGCAAGAGTAAAAACTGAAGCTACATGTTTTATCTTAAGCGGCCATCGCCTACAAAGAAAGAAGTTTCAACAAGTAATCAAGCGTTTGAAAGGAAGGGTTTGCCGTGATTCTCATCACTGGTCGTATCAGGCAACACACTTCATTGTTCCAGACCCTATAAGGAGGACAGAGAAATTTTTTGCTGCTACTGCATCAGGAAGGTGGATTCTTAAAACTGACTACTTAACTGCTAGTAGCCAGGCAGGAAAATTCTTGCCAGAGGAGCCTTATGAGTGGCACAAAAATGGTCTCACTGAGGATAGTGGTGCCCTCAATATGGAGGCTCCAAGAAAGTGGCGGCTGTTGAAAGAAAGAACAGGACATGGTGCCTTCTATGGGATGCGCATAGTTGTTTATGGCGGTTGTTTTGCTCTACCTCTGGATACTCTGAAGCGTGCGGTCAAAGCTGGGGACGGAATAATATTGGCAACATCTCCTCCTTATACTCGTTTCCTTAATAGTGGGGTTGACTATGCCATAGTTAGTCCTGGCATGCCACATGTTAATGTCTGGGTCCAAGAGTTCTTAAAACATGAGATACCTTGTGTTGCAGCAGAATACTTGGTTGAGTATGTCTGCAAGCCTGGAGTCTCCCTTAAGAAACATGTACTGTATGACACTGAAACCTGGGCGGATAGGTCATTTGAAAAACTTCAAATCAAGGGAGAAGAGATTATTGAAGAGGTCATTCCTCCTGAGGATTGCAATGATGATGATGATGATGATGTAGCTTGCCAAGTATGTGGCTCCCGGGAAAGGGGAGATGTCATGTTGATTTGTGGAGATGAAAGGGGATCTGTTGGCTGTGGAGTGGGTACCCATATCAATTGCTGCAATCCTCCTCTCACAGCTATTCCCGAGGAAGATTGGTTTTGCCCAGAATGCAGTAGTAAAAATACTCGAAAAATCCCAAGAAAAAGAGAAAGGGTGCATTAGCTTCATCAAAAACACAAAAACCACTACTAGTGTTGTTTTCTTTGATCTAGCCAAAATGGGTTGTTGCTATTCAAGACTAGAGAGGGAAGAAACGGTGACGCATTGCAAATCAAGGAAACGTTACATGAAAAACTTGGTACAGGCAAGACATGCTTTTTCAGCTGCACGCGTTATGTACATTCGATCTCTTCGTTCAACTGGTTCAGCTTTGTTTCACTTTGCTAACGCTGAAAAAAACCACTCATCTTAATCACCATCTTCCACCTTATACTTTATCGCCCGCTTCCACCTGCACAATCAAATTAAGACAAAGAGCATAATTCAGTTTCCATCATACAAGCATGAGCCCCAAACAGTTTCAGCCGCTAAAAAAACAACAGTTCTGTCCAGAAGCTTGATGAGGAAATTCTACACAGCAAACAAGTCTTAAAAGATGCTTCAAACAGAATTGAAATTGCAAATAGAAGGCAACATGCTGCTAAGGGAGCTGCGGAAATTACCCGATGTGCTTAATTTTCAGCTTGAGCGCTATGTCTTCCTTCCAAAGACAACAACAAAGAAGAAAATTACTTCTTCATTTTCATTTCCTGCTGAACTTAGTATGCACGACAGACTCTCTGAGCTATCTCAGTCTGAATTGATATATGACTTGTCAGTTGTACTGATACACAAGGGAACTGCAGCTAATGGTGGTCATTACATTGCTCACATCAAGGATGAAAATACTGGGCAATGGTGGGAATTTGACGACGAGCTCGTTACTAGCTTGGGTAGTTGCCCATTTGCTGAAGAGGCTGCCTCTAATTCTGTTAAGAATGATGTAGAACATTCTAATTTCTCTAAAGCAAGGGTAGATGACAGTAATGGAAATGGTTTAAGTGTCAAAGTTTCAGAATCTTCACCTATGGAGACATTTTCATCTAGTGAGGCATATATGTTGATGTAACCCGGCCAACAATAACAAACCATAATCCAAAGCGTGTTTCAATTCCACAACCTGCAAAACATTGAGAGGAATTAACATTTACGTACGACTCTGCTAACGCATCCCAAACAGCAGCAGTAGTTCAGTATGCAGCAACTCAAAAGATCAAAATGTTAAACTTGTTGTTTGTGCAACAACAGATCTGCCTCTGACACTTATCAAGGAGGAAAGAAGCAGCAGCCGCCACTTCAACCTTTTCAGCCATCCCCTTCCCAGCTAGCCCAATTGGTCTCACAACAAACACAGACTTTACAAGCAAGCTTTCATTCATCTCAGCAGGCCTTCTCCCAGCTTCAACAACAAATGCAGATGATCCAGCCATCCACTCAAGCAATGACATTGCAGCATCATGCAGAAGCTACTAAAACACAGGTTGTTGTTTTATAAAGTATGCTACTTCAGAGGAAGCTGATCAGGCAATAAGAGCATTGCACAATCGACATACTCTTCCCGGAGGTGTTGGTCCCATCCAAGTGCGGTATGCTGGTGGTGAACGGGAACGCCTTGGTGCAGTTGAGTACAAACTATTTGTGGGCTCTCTGAATAAACAGGCTCTCGTAAAGGAAGTTGAGGGAGTTTTCTCAAAATATGGGCGGGTTGAAGATGTTTATCTTATGCGTGATGACAAGAAGCAGAGTCGTGAGATATGGCATTGCCTATAAATGCAGGTGGTCCTATGAAAGGCATGGGAGTCTCCATAGATGTCCGATTTCAAGCTCAGTCTCCGTCAGCAATGCCACAACAACATTGACTACCCCTAGTCGACGGCAAATTCCTCCCTCTATACAGCAGACAACAACTAGCAGTAATACTTAACCAAGATATGAGTTTCTTTGATACTTATGAGAATAATAGAGACATGTTGATCCCTTTCAATCTCAAGTTATTAAAATGTTTTGAAATTCTGAATCCATTATGGTATCCGCACATACCTCTGCTAGAAAAATTGTTGTGGCTTTATATACAATTGCGATGTCGTTTCGAGATGGTCAACGTGTTGTCTACACTTCTCCTATCAAGGCACTTAGTAACCAGAAATGTAGAGAAGAGTTTTTTTTATGTTGGCCGGTGGCATTCAGTAATATCTCTTTGAGGTTGATTCTGCTCGTTTGAGGTTTGATCCATCTGCCAAGATAATTGGGCTACTGCCTCCAAAAGTTAGATGCTCCGTCGACTGTGTTATTGCAGTTCCACTTGCGAACATACGAGAACCTTTCAAAAGCTTCGCGTGGGAGTTTGATAAGGGAGACTTTCATTACCGATTTGATCTTGGTCCTGGACAGCAATACCCATGCATTCACTTGTATGCTTTCATAGTTCTGATTCAAGCGAATTGGTGTCACTACTGAACTATATAGATGCAGTTT